ATGAAAATTCATCGAATTGGTTTTGAACGGAGGGGATTGGTTGAAATGTGTTTAACGAATAATTCGAACCCAGTGGTGATCTCCAATGACCTGCTTCCCAACGATTATAATTCTGCTGGGGCTTTAAATTCGTGGATCATAATCGATCGCGAATTCAACAAACAGATCACAGGTTTTCTCCGCGCTTATCCGAGTTACGTTATTCCATTCGTCTCGATCGACAATCTTAAACCGGTGATCGACAATCTCCAAAGATCCAAATTCTGGAACATCAAATCACCGTTTGTGATCGTTGGGACCGAGTCGAGTTGCCTCAGCGCCGGGAGAATTTTGAAATTCATGTGGGACCGAGATTTGTTGTCTGTTTATTACTTGTGCAGCAAGAAGAATTCGACGACCATCTTCACACTGAATCCTTATGCAAGCTATGCTCCGGCCCCGTGGAAACTTGTTGACAAATTCAGCGACAACTTAAAAAAGATTAACCTCTTTAGGCTCCAACTCACAAAAGGTACTTTTATTATTAATTATTACAGTCGTGATCAGTAGTAATAACTCAGCTTGTTTAATTTCAGGGCCAGAGATTTTTAAAATCATCACCTTTGACAAAACAGATCGATTAGAAGAAGCGGAGATAAAATTTTTGAGTTCTAACACAAAGGATCTAATAAGCCGGATGGGTATCAAGAAGTTTATAGGTTTATCCGATGTACCAACTTTGATGAATGCGACGTCAGCAATAAGGCATATCCCTCCTTCAAATTCTATCGCATCGTTGAAGAAAGGTTACATTGAACAATTAGTCGACAACACAGGTGACATTTACACTCCAATAATGCCAATAGAAGCCACTGATTACAGCCACGTCAACATAATTGCGTACTATCATGAGCACGAGTTTTCAATCGCGACCAAAAAAACAAATTTCCTGACGGTGATCAGCGAACTGACCCAGGATGTTCGGTTCGTGGTGGGAACAATAGTTCTGTTCGTTTTGTTTACGATACTGATGTTTATGATCAACAGAGATGACTTAAAGCTGGCTACGCTGGATATGATAAGGTTGGTCGTCGGTATGGGACTTGAAACTTCACTTAGCCGTCTAGTGATGAAGATTTTCCTCTTCTATGGGTTCCTGTATGCGTTTCTGATTGTTCTCGACTTTCAAGGCCACCTGTCTGCCATTTTATCGGAACCTATGAGGCGCGATGTCGAGACACTGAAGGATCTCTATGAGAACAAGTTCCATGTCTACTATCTCAACATATTGAAGAACGACACGATAAATGAACAGTTGTGGGTCTCTGATGAGGACAAAAAATATCTTCATCCGTTAAGTGCTCAGGAAATGATGAACTGCTGGGAAGAAGTTCTCAAAAATCCGAAAAAAGCTTGTATCCGTCAAACAAACACATTTCTCGGCCAGGCTTATAACTTTCCAAAGTTGCATGTGTCGAAGGAGCCTGTCTTTACGAAGAGATCTGTTCATTGGGCGAGGAAGAATTGGCCCTTAGAGGACAAGTTCGATGAAACAGCACTTAAAACTTCGGAATCTGGATTCGATTCCACGAGCGTTAATAAACGATTTATAGAAAAATTTTTCAAGAAACGATTGACCGTGAGAAAGAGAAGAGAAGAGAGTGAAGATTATGAAGAGTTCGACTTTGAGGAGTTGATTTTCATTTATTATTTTGTCGGGTATTGCACCGCTTTTGCTGTTATCGTTTTAATGATTGAAATAATATTCGCTCGATATTTTAGAAGTCTTAGACAGTTATTAGTGCAAAGAGGTTACTAATTATACTTCGTTTGGATGTTGATTGTTGTTAATTATTGACTCGTGTGTTTTCAAATTTACAGTGAATCTTTTTTACAATAAAATAAATTTATTTGTTAATCCTTCTATTCTTATTTTAATCTTATTGGAAATTATTTTATACTTTTAAGTTTGTTTTTTTATTAAAACTCTGTTCCATTATCCTGACCAGGATCTTCAGGATTACAGAGTTTTTATATTCAAAGACTCGGTAGTGCCTTGTGCCAAGTACTAAGGCGTATACTAAGTTATGCATAGCTCAATCCATGAAACAAGAATATAACTAAGGTTAAGATCAACTAGGGAGTATTGTTCGTTTTTCAATTTAAAACAATTATAATTTAAAATACTGAATACACACTTTAATAAAAAATCAAACTTACATGCAGAAAATAATTTTTAAAAAGTTTAAAATAAAAATAGAGGGATTAACAAAAAAAATGTACATTATTGTCCAAAAGCGTAATATGATTTTTGAGGTATTTTCACAATGGCTCCACTTTAACCAATAGATAAAATATGTTGTATATTTTTTTTAAATATACTATAAATAACTCTGTAATAAATTAGAAGTGCAACTTTGGAGTTAAATAATAAAAAATGTAACTGTTGAAATTTTTTGTGATTAAAAATTTTTAAATATATTATAAATAGAAAAAAATGTAATTTAGTAATAAGAGAGTAAAAATTGGGCAAGAATTTATTTTGCGGCAAGAAGATTCTTCGGAACGTCGCCAACGTTATGCGGTAAGTCTAATTGTTTATTTAATTCAAGAAAATAACTTTAATTTTAAATAAAAAATTTTTGGTTCAATTTAAAAAAATGATTCATTCAAAATTTCTTCATAATAAATGAAGAATAATTTTTCTTTTATTATTCTTAAAAAAACGGGCACTAATTTCGCGCAATAAATAATTTTAATAATTACCTCGGATAATTATCTTGATAAATCAAAGTCGGTGCAAACATAAAGTACGAAAATTTATTGAATTTTGGAATAAGATCTCCACTTCCGTCATGTAATTTACGATTCAATACTGATGGAACAGTGCTTCGAATAAACGCATGAATTTTCATAATCATGCGGACCTGAAATTCAATTGTTAGATTTTTAATAAATTTCTAGTAGGCAAAAAGAAGGAATTTTAATAAAAAAAGTTTAATTACTCACCTGTTCCATTAATACGATGGTGGTAGAAGGAGGCGGAAGCTGGGATTTTAAAATTATGTGTGCCGGCAGAACTAAGAACGTTAGTTGATATCCAACAAACAGCAAGAACCACGTGTAATCCCAAATTTTTAACTGAAATGCTGTAAAAAAATTATTTAATTTAATAAATTATTTATATAATTAAGAGAATAAGGAAAATTTTGTCTCCGGCATATTTATATGATAAAATGATATACTTCTTCTTTCTAACAGAGTAACAAAACGGAACAGTATTAACGTCTCTCTAATTATTATCATTATAAATTGTAATTAAATTTGTACAAAGGCTCTACAAGCATCTTATTGAAGCGGTTATTCAAAGTCTGCCGTGTACATACATAATTGCAATTATAAATAATTGTAACTAATGACAATGCTCTAATTCTATTTCAAAATACAAGATAATGATATTGTTCGTAACATCTCCGTCTAAATCCGTATCTTTAAATAATAAATTACACTGATATTATTATATCGCAACTACTAGTTTAATTATTATCAAGGATAATTATTGTCACAGGACTGAAAGCTCTTTTCGAGACTGACATTTATATTCTGTTTAAATTTATGTGTCACTTATAAATTTTATTTAAGAATATCATCTTTTATTTATATACTTAAAAGAATAAGGAAAATTTTGTCTTAGGAGTATTTATATGATAATATGAATTTTTCAAATTAAATTTAGTATCATTGGAAAGGTCGAGACCTGAATTAGTGCCTTTTAAATGTTTCATTTCCTTTTCTAAAATAGTTAATTTATTACGATAAGTTTTCGGAGTAGTTATAAATAGATTAGAATTTCGCGATAAACAAAATTTGTTTATTTATTTATTTTGTTTTGTACATGTCAATGTGGTTGTATGTCAAAAATTTATTTATATAATTAAGAGACTAAGAAAAATTTTTTAACGGGTATATCTTTATCGTAAATTGGATTTGATATTTTTTCAGCGATAGTCATTTATGATTTAAATAATTGAGAGAGTAAGGAAAATTTTGTGACGAGCATCTTATTATTTTTAAAGGAATTTTTATAGTTTAATTTGGTATCATCAGAAAGGTCGAGATAAGAATTAGTGCCTTTTGGTTTTATATATTTTTAAGTAGTCAATTTTTTATGTAAAGTTTTTGGAGGAGTTTTTAATAGTTTGTTGGTTCTATAAATTTGTTCCGTCAGATTTGTCCATTAAATTATTTGTAATTGATCCTGTGATAGCACTATTATTTTTAAAATTTATTTAAAAAGTACCCAAACTACTAGTGTGATTATAAATATCAAAAAATAATTAAGCCAAAATTTTCTTATTCATAATCCGTAAATCTCGGAAGTCACATAGTGACTGCAGGTTGCTATTCAATATTAAATTTGTTGCATGATTTTCAATTAAAAAAAAAAATTAAATTAAATACTTACTGATTTAAAAAAAAATCATTATTCTAAATTGATAAGTATTCAAAAAATTTCTAATGATAAAACAAAAAAAAATAGTGAAAATCAAATGATCAAAAGATGGAAAATAAAATTTTTTTCTTCAGACAGTTGTCTATTAAATTTTGTTGAGCTTGTTTGTTTATAAACCCCAAAGAAGATTTACTGATTTAGTCAAAAGTTTATCTGGTTTTTCGTCAGTAAATAAAATCAGACCCCTGATTTGAAATTCCGGAGAAATAAATAATGAAATAATTCCATAGATAATAAATTGACGATTGATCCTGTGATAGCAATATTATTTTTAAAATTTATTTAAAAAGTACCCAAACTAATTAATCCTAAATTTTCTTATTCATAATCCTTAAATCTCTGCAGTCACGTAGTGACTGCAGATTTCTAATAAGTTACTAAAAAAAAGCAGACTTACATTTTGGTGATAATTTAATTCGTTGATGAGCGTAGAAATTGTAGAAATAATACACACTGTAAGATGAAGCCACCATAAAACACCAAATTTTTATAACAGTTGTCATTTTTCCGAACCCTAATTTTATCGTCAAAAATCCGAGGCTTAGACTGAAGAAAAATTTTATGATTAATAATAAGTTGAACATTTTTTTTTTTTTTTGTGTTGTACTTACGATCCATTTTGAAGAATATCATAAACAGCTGTATTCAAAAACGCAATCAAGAACAATGCTACGAAACAATTGTAAATTGTTTTGACATGCTTAATTTCACTAAAGAGATCAGTGAGTGTCGAGTTACGCATTTCAAAAACTTTTTCTCTCATAACATGCTTCAATTTTCTGCAAAAAAAAAATATATATTACAAAAAAGCATTCACGCTAGAGGTGTGTAATTTCAGAAAATTGTTATTTAACATACTTGTGATCGTTAGGAGAATTACTTGTTCCATTTTTGTGGTTCTTTATGTCATCTTTTTCAATACTTTCAATTTTTTGGAACTCTGACATTTTGAGATCAGTTGAATTTCCGTTTTTTAAATGTTTTCTCTGTAAAATAAAATATTATTTAATTATTAAAGATAACGCGTGCCTAAAGGTAAAAGGGCGCATATTTTTTTTTTTATTGCCAATCGAGTAGTAGACACATTCTACGCTTAAAATTGAAAAAAAAAATTGCAAAGGTAAAAGGGCGTATGTCTTTAATTATACGCCCTTTTACTTTTAAGAATTCGAAATTTTGGTGACCTAAAGGTGAAAGGGCGTATAATTTTTTTTCGGCCAGTTTACAAAAGAACATATTCGTAGTTTAAAAATGTGAAAAAAAAAGTTTCTGTGGTAGTAGCGGCGTAAAACCTCAACTATAAAATTTTTTAAAGTTAAAAAAGAAAATATATCGAAAAAACAATAAAGTACGCGTGATTATTTTCTCGCTTTTTATTTTAAGAAATAGTTATTATAAAATTTGGATTCTGGATTGTTGATCATGATGAAACAGCTGTTGTGTGAACGGCGCCAGTAGTTTATATTAAATAGGGCGATTAAAGCGAGAAATTTCAAAATATTTCAATGTTATCTGTCATTGTGATTTTTTTTATTACTTAATTTTGACGTAATTTGTTTTTGATTAATTTATTTTCTATTTGTTTATATCTTCACTTTGTATATGAGGCTGTTATTTTAGTATAACTTGTCTTGTGAAACTATTATTTAACATTTGGGATCAAAACTACAATTTTTTTTTATGCGCCCTTTTACCTTTAAGTAGTACTTTTCTTAAGGCTGAAAAGGCGTATGTCTTGAGATACGCCCTTTTAGCTTTAGGATACCAATTTCTTTCTTCACAGATTTTTACGTTTCAGACAATTTCAAACCGAATGGCAAAAAAAATTTTTTTATACGCCCTTTCAGCACAAATCCCTATTAACCCTTAGCTATACGCCCTTTTACCTCAAGGCACGCGAATTATTAATAATAATCTGGGTAATTTTCATTCATCAATAGAATTTTTAAATATTTATTAAGTTATTATCATTTCTTCAATGAAATGTCTTTGACCCGACCGTTAGATGTTAGATAACATTATCATCAACCTAAAGACGGGAAGTAATATTTTGCTGAGTTTAGCAATTAAATAGTTATTTTTATTGATGATGACATTTTTATCTTTTAAAGTTATTTATAAATTTCTCGATTAATTTAAAGTTAATTTTACCTTTTCAGAATAGTTGGTCTGTTCCGTAGTCATTTCTGATAATTTATCTGTTTTACCTGAAACAAGTAATCGTTTAAAAATATTAGTTACTTTAAATTATAAATTATAAAATAAATGCAACGATTTTGCTGTAAGATATTGAGCCGCGGATGAATAATAATTGTAAACATCAACAGAGATTATATTTATAATCTTTAACATAAAGAGTCCAGTTGTTAATCCGAAGTTTAAACTTACTTTTCATTTTATTTTTATTAACTTATAATTTGCTAAGTAAATATTTTAACGAATACTCACTTTGACAAAATGCACTAGATATTATATGATAATAATTTCTTTATCAATAATCGTTTTGTTAAGTTTTATTTGTAATGTAAAAGATATGAAGATAAATATTTATGTTGTTGGTATTAAAATAATCTAAAGAAGTTCTATGTAAAAATCATTTAATTTATGAATAATTAATTGATTTAAATTGTTTAATTATTTAGTATTTAGTCCTAGCGTGTTAGGCTAATAGACCGGGAACTCCGAGTTTTATATTTATTGAGAATAGGTTTCTTTGAATAAATTAATCATTAGTTGAATTTGATACATATATTATTTAAATTAAAAGTTAGTAAAGTTACAAAATTATTACAATTGTTACAGCTATTACACAATGGTTGAAATTTAATATTTTCTTTCATATTATAACGAATTTTCAATATTGCTAAATTCACAAATATTAATATTTAAAATGTACCTGATAAGTTGATGAATCCTGTTAGTTGATTTCACTTTATGATTCTACTTTACTTTTACAACTGTTTAAATTTCAAATGAGACAAAATTATACGTGGTCTATTGAGACTTACTTAAACTGTGTACGATGTTACCACTAGATAGGTCAAAATAACACGAAGAGAGCGAACACTTAGCAGTTTTCCGGGTCCGAGATTTTTGAGGTCCCTTAATTGTTAATTGGAGGGAGAAACCAATGCCCAATTAGCTATCGAATTTCGGGGACTCTTACCCTCTCTTCGGATGTTTCGGAAAACTACTATAGTGGCAGTCTACTTTGTATATTGATGCACAAGTATAGATCACAGGATGTGCATTGTACATTTGTGATAATGTATAGGCGCATCTATACACACACACACACATGCACACAGAGACCTTAATGTTAACTTGTAATTTACTATATGAAAAATTGAGATATCAATATTCTTTAACTTATATATGTAGCTAAATTATTTAAACGCTTAAACTACGATTAAATAATGTATGTTAACAATCGACTGAAAATTTAATCAACAATTAGTCAGTCATTGTTAATAATTAATTTGTAGTTTCCGATTTGTTTATTTTTATCTCTTAATATTTAAATTCTATTTTATTTTATAGTTCTATTAATTACTATATATTCATTTGAGTCATTATTTTACTTCTAATTGTTTATTACTCTTAACATTTAAATTCTATTTTGTTTAATAGTTTTGTTATTTAACTATTCATTTTGAGTCATTATTTGTCTTTTACTTCTACTTATTTATTACTCTTAACACGTGTTTTAACTAAACTAGAATTTGAATTTACGCGCGCAAGCGCGCGCCTTGACTATAGAGTTTGCATATATTTTCATGCTTATGATATATTTGACCAATCACGTTACGAATAGTTTGATGCCACATACATTTCATCTCAATTTTATATTAGGATTATTTTAGTCTATAGTTTAAAATTGTTGTTTAAGCATTTTACTTATTATTGTAAAATTATTATTTTCCTAAACTTAAGTTATAATCTTTTTATTATATGTCTAGACAGTAGACCAAAAGATATTTGGGGAAAAATATAATTACGAAAATTTCCCAGTCCGGACTTTAGTGCCACAGTGCATTTAAGAGCATTTTTAGATTTGAAGATATCCAGATAATATCTTCCAATGTTTCTTTATCAAACGGCTACAAGTTCATTTACGTATAGGGACCGAGCGCTAACTGTAGAGGCAGCACATTAGTCGGAAGTGGCGCGCCCTGGTGTTTAACAAAAGCACTAAATGGGCAAAAAGTATTACAATAGCTTATGTATTTTTTTACTAAATAATAAAATATGCTTTTTGACCAGTATTAATCGGTCATATTGAAAGCAAAAATAATTCAGAAAGTTAAAAAAAAACTTTAGGCCATGTATATTAAATGTCAAAAGAAATTCAACATTATTAAATCAAATAGCCATGTAAACATAGCCTTCAAAGTTCAATTCCGCCTCTAAACACGTCGTATGCCTGTCATTTTTCTCTGGGATACCACTAGTACTGAGCGAAAAATAATAAAATTTCACAAGTTTGTCAATTTGACGGTTCCGACTTGATATATTTATATGTATGTCGTGATATGTCAAAACTCTACAATTAAAAAAATTTCAAACAATTTATTAATTTATTTAAATAAAAAATAAATTAACATTAAATCACATGTAAGAGTTTAAAATTTTTGCCCATTAGCTTACAATTTCTATCACCAGTTGGCGTGATAGTCTAGAGGCTCGGTCCCTATAACAAAACTTAAAAATGTCAACTGATTGATTATTATTGTATTCACCTTAAAATAAAACACGCGTAGGGTTTTTATTTATAATATTTTTTATCAATCAGCTGATTAATATTTTTAGTTAGTTTTATTAACTTATAGGTATATGCAACGAGGATAAAAAATCTCAGCTAACTAATAACTCTCAGTCTTGAATTATAAAAAAAAAAAAAAAAAAAGTTTTGAAATTTTGTTATTATAAATATCAATAATCAATAGATAATTTTTTTCATATACTCAGTTGTATTATCAAATGACAATGTAAGCTAATCGAAAATAGTAATTTTCACTTAATAATAAAATATACGCGTGGGGTTTTATACTTAGGATTCTTTTATAAATCAGCAGATCGGCTTTTCTAGTTAATTCTATTTGCTTTCGGGTATATTTAATTGGAATAGAAAAAATGTTGATAAGGAATAACTCCTAGAGTTGAGTTAAGACAAAAAAATTGATTAGAAATCATCTTGTTGTCAAAACATGCAGAAAGAATTTTTTATCTATAAAACTAATTTACATAATAACATGCTAACGTCAGCTGATTTACTATTATTATATTATTTATAATACGAAACATACGCTCATGGTTATTTTTGAATAATACAATTATTTTTTAATAATATTTAAAAATCTAGATGGTAAAAATCAATAAAAGTTTGAAAAAAACAAATAATAGTTGTTTTTAGTAGATTTCATAGAAATCTAACTATTGCAATGGTCCTCATGACGAAACTTTTGAAAAATTTTGCTATATTCCGACTTAACTCGACGAGTTGAGTCAGAAAATACATATGGTTCAAAAGTTTATATATATATACGATATAACGCGGCTTGTCACCACGATAGCGTCGCCAATTTACTATGGATCTTTATCAAACTCAACATACTTATTCCACAGATAGATACCGAGATCAAGTTCGAAGATGAGCTTAATCGGTCAAGTAATTTAGAAATGCCATAATTTCAAAATTTTCAAAATCATAAAAATTTCCATTTCTTCATTTTCGTACTTAAATAACTTTTGAATGGGATAATTTATCGAATTTCTGTAAATTGCATCTGAAAGCTCTTTAAATAAGCTTCAATTTGAATACCATATCATATGTGTAGTCCCAAAATTATGTCCTATTCCGCTATGCCAATTATGAAATTTGCTATTGCAGTCGTTTTTTTTTGTTTTTTTCTTTACTGTACACCAGCAGTAAGTAAACAAATAACGGAGTTAGGGTGAAATAAGCTTTTAATCGCCGGTTTACTAAAAATCCATTATTTTTTTCTATTTATGATGAAATCTACTTCCATTTCGACTGCCGAATGGTCTTTTTTTAATAGTAGTTTAGTTTTTTATGAAAATCTTAAAAAAAGTTTCTTAGTTATAATAAAATATACGAGTAAAATTTTCGGTATCCCGTATATCACGCAGTGCATAACCTCCTCTATAAATTCGAACTTTGAAATTAAATATCTCTGAAACTAGATGGTCAAAAAATTTCAATTTGCGTCAATTGATGCAGAATTATATAAATATTAATCTGCCAAAATTTAAAAAAATTCCTAAGAAAACGCCTCTGGCGAGGGTACTACCTTAAGCTTTAAAATCTTAAATGCATTGAGGTTCCGGGCTAAGTACCTAAGTAAGGGACATGGATCTCCTAATTATCCTATTACCTGGTCTACGAACGAACGAAAAATTATGACGGTCTTCAAAAAAAAAAAGAAATTATTAATAAAAATTAATATTAATAAAAAAATGTTTTACATAACAGAAGAAATAATCCGTAAGAATTTGGTTATAAAGAATGCAAAAATATTTATTGAGATTTATTAAAAATTTCGGAGAAATTTTTGAACTGATACTTTAAAAAAAATTATTTGATTTAAAAATAAGCATTCTATATTTAATAATTTATGAATTTTATATTTTTAGTTTAAAAAAACGAGTTCTTTCATTGAAAATAACAAAAAAATTATTTATAAAAAATTGAAATCAAAATTTTTGATTAATTTTTACAGATACGATAAAATTGATAAACAATTGTTTCTTACAGAAAATTAAATTTCCTTAAAAAAAATGTCTCGTACAAATTTTTTATATTTCCTATATTTTAGCTCGAATATAAATTCTAAATTTTCATAACATTTTCTCTCAAAATTGTTAAATAAAATCATACTAAAAAAAATAATTAATTGAAATAAAGACGAAAAATTCTTGAATCAAATAAAATTTACTTAAAAAAAAAAAATTTTTAATTTCAAAATTTTTCAATTCAAATCTAAAAAATAAAATTTTTTTCTTGATTCAAGTAAATTTTTTTTTCTATGCATAAAATTCTTTAAAAAAAAACCTTTTTCTTAATTTTCAAATTTTATTTTTTAAAATAAATTTCAATTAATACATTCCTTTTTTTACGTTCATTTTTATACTAAATAAATAAAGCAAAAAATAATAAATCCTAAACAAAATTTTTTTAGTTTTAAAATTTTTCAACTGAAAAAAAAATAAAAATTTTTTTTCTATGCAAAAAATTCTTAAAAAAAAATTTTTTTTCTTAATCCTCAAATTTTTAAAATAAATTCCAATTTAAATATTCCTTTTTTTACGTTTATTATTAAACTTACTAAATAATTAAACAAAATTTCTTACCAAAAGCCAAAAATTCCTGGGACT